GTGTGTGCCATTGCCAGCTCCAGCTGCCACCCCCATCCCCCAGCCAGTCCCCCCAATGGACTTCACCCTCGAAGGGTGTGCGTGGGGGGTATACCTCCCAGCTCTGTCCCTATCCTGCTCCAACCCGACTGCACCCTTCTCCCAACCTCTCCTTCCTGCTCAACACCTTGCTGCTGTCAGTGAATGCAGGGTGGGCCCAGCCCCCCCAGACTTCCCATCCCCACAGCCACCCCCATCCCCCAGCCAGTCCCCCCAATGGACTTCACCCTCGAAGGGTGTGCGTGGGGGGTATACCTCCCAGCTCTGTCCCTATCCTGCTCCAACCCGACTGCACCCTTCTCCCAACCTCTCCTTCCTGCTCAACACCTTGCTGCTGTCAGTGAATGCAGGGTGGGCCCAGCCCCCCCAGACTTCCCATCCCCACAGGATCCCCAACCCCTGCTGCCTCTCTTCGCTTTTCCTGCCTCCTACAGCTCTGGGGCCACCCCCTACAGCCCTGAAATCTTGAATTCAGTCCTCCCATCCTCCACAGAGCGGCTTCCCCCACTTGGTGGCTGGGGACTCAGGGCAGGGAGGAGGTGTAGCTGGAGTCAGGGGGGGAACATGGGCGTGAGGAGATCTAGAGGGGGCAGGAGTCAGGGTCACAGGTGAGGAAAGGCTCAGGGCAGAGGAAGGAGGCAGCAGGTTCGGTACTTCCCCTCACTCTAGGCACAGGAAGCAGAAAAAGCAACAGGGAGTTGGTACGTGCATCTGCAGCCCCTCATGCCGTCTTTAAATGGTGAGGGTGGGGGATGGGAGCCCTCAGGGTTGAAGCCTGCTGCTGAGCATGGCAGGAAGCATGGAGCCAGGCTGGGAGCATCCCTCCTACAGCCGAGTGTCCTGAATAACCAGCCCGCTTCTTGCAGGAGCACCGCACGGGCTCCCTGCCTTCCTCTCCACTTTGGAAATCCCGCCTTTGGCTTATTTTAAACCTGCCACCTACTCATTTCATTTGGCGACCCATAGGAGGAGGAGGACGTACCACCACTTTATGTACCTCCTCCACGCCAGTTATGGGTTTATAGAGCTCTGTCAGGCCAGGGGTGAGGCCTGAGGCCTAGCTGAAAGCAGACACAATTTTGCTGATACAAAGCAAACTTGAGCTCTAAGCAAGAGGCAGGCCCGTCTCCCCCAATCCATCAGGAACCGGGCTGATATTGCAAAAATACCCATGCCTCAGATGTACTAGGCACAGGCCGAAAACAGTCCAGAGGGGTGGCACCAGAACATCTGGCTCAGAAACATCTTGGGACCAACACACTCCTCACAGATAAGAGTGACACCTTGTCGTAACCATGACGATTGACTAGCAGCCTGGGGACTAAGCGGTTAACCTAGTCAGCCAATGGTCAGGCAGGTAGGGATTTCAAACTGAGACAAAGGAATTTTTAACTTTTCCCTCCTTTGTCTCTGAGCCAGTTTGCTCTCTAGATACCGAGGGAGACAGAAGACAGGTCTGTTTCCAAGAAAAAGACTCTTCATTATGTGTAAGTAGGGCCAAGTCTAGATAAATCTGTCACGTTTTATTGTTTTCAGTTTGGGAATTTGGATCTGATGTCTGTGCTGTTAGAAATGGTTTTTCCTCTCTTTTGTAACTAAGTTTTGGCCCATGGGGGAATCCTCCATGAGGATATTAATTGGTGGCTCTTCCCATTTAGGCATTCATACCATGCTTGTAACTGGGGAATTGTTTTGCAAATAATAGTTCTTTCTTTTTCCACTAAACCTGGTAATGGTGAATTTTTAAGTCTGGTTTTACTTTGGGGCTGAGATTTCTCAAGCGATCTCTTCCCTGTTTTTTCTTGTAATACTTGGGAGGTGGCAGTGTTTTTCTTTTTGTTTTTAATTTCCCAAAGTCCGGGTGTTAGGATTTGGGAGTAAGTTTTGTACCAAAGCCTGTGAAGATCAGGTTTTCAGGTGCAATTGTGGGCCCCCACTTCTGCATTCATTGTGCCAGAATGGGGAACAGCCTTGACACACCCTGACCCTGGTTCAGGACAGGGCCAGCATGACAGAGTGATGGACAGAGATGCTTAGGTCCAACTCCCATGTACAAGTTACTGGGTGGCATCTAACGACGTCAGCACCCTGACACATCAGCAGCGAGGTGTAACTTGTCTGTGTCTAGGTCTAACCATGGATCTCAGAGGAGCTGCCCTTGTCCAGCCCAGGGGCAGCGGGAAACCCCACCACTGCCTGCACTCAGTCCATTGTCAGGGGTACTCAGGTACTAGTAGAACTGTAGACGTCTGCGCCAGGGCACTGGAGACTGGGCTTCACTTACAATAAACCAGGCTGGGCACATTCCCACCGTGTCTCATCGTATATGCAAAATCCACTAGATCCGCCTTGTCCACGTGTTTTTGGGTCCCTCAAAGCACTCGAGTACATCAGTGAGGCAGGATTTCCCTTTACAAAAACCATGTTGAATCTTCCCCAACAAATTGTGTTTATCACTGTGTCTGACAAGTCGGCTCTTAACTGGGATTTCCACCAGTTTGCACGAAGCTGACGTTAGACTTACCCGTCTGTAATTGCCAGGATCACCCCTAGAGCCCTTGTTAAAACTGGTGTCACATTCGCTACCTTCCAGTTATCTGGCAAAGAAGGGGATTTAAGTAACAGGTTACAACCACAGCGAGCAGGTCTGTAATTTCACTGTTGAGTTCCTTTAGAAATACTGTCTGCTCCTGGTGATGTATTGATCTCATCACTTTCTTCTGTTATCTCCTCTAATGACGCCTGAGTCACAGACTTTTCCTCAGATGTATCATTTAAAAGGAACTGCTCAGGTGAGGGAACCTCCCTTACACCCTCAGTCCTGGAGACCAATGCAAAGAATCCATGTCCTTTCTCTGAATGTTCTTATCGTCCTTTCACATCTCAATCGTCCAGTGGCCTCACTGGCTGGTTATCAGCTTCCTGCTTCTGACAAACTCCACGTTCTTTTGCTTTTACCTTTTGAGTCCTTTAATTTGGGGTAAACATTTAAGTTGACCCTCTAGCGTGGTGCGTTTCAACACAATAATGAATGGAGATGCCCATCTCCTAGAACTGGAAGGGACCTTGAATGGTCATTGAGTCCAGTCTGCTACCTTCACAGCAGGACCAAGTACCATCCCTGACAAATTTTGCCCCAGATCCCTAAATGGCCTCCTCAAGGTTGAACTCACCATCTTGGGTTTAGCAGGCCAATGCTCAAACCACTGAGATATCCCTCCCCCATGCACACCCCATACTCAACATTTTTTCCTGCAGTTTGCAGGGATTTCACTTTTAGCCTGTAACTTTCAATTTCTGTTTAACTAACTGCTTCATTTTTGTGGTGTTCCCCTTTCTGAAATTAAATGCCCCAGTGCTGGGCCGCTGAGGTGTTTTTGTTGCCATTGGGGATATTAAATCTAATTATATGATGGTCACTGTTCCCAAATGGTGCAGCTGTTGTCACCTCTGGGACCAGAGCCTGCTCTCCACTGAGCAAGAATGGCCCCTCCCCATGTGGGTGCCAGGAAAGGCTGTTCCCAGAAGGAGTCAATTAAACTTTCCCTTACTATCCCGTCCTGAAGTGACGTGTCCCCAGTCAAGATGGGGATAGTTTAAATCCCCCATTATAGCTAAGATTTAACCTTTGATGGGCCAGACTTCACTGCCCTTCTCCAGCGTCTAAAAAATCCCCAGTCCCGTAGAAAGTACTGGAGACCCACAGCTCAGTCTGTAAGGAATTTCAGCAAGGATTGCTCAGTGTCAGCCTCCTTACATTCAAGTTCCAATAGAAACTAAAGTAAAGAAACAAATCATCTAATTCTTACAAGAGAACACGCCTATGGCAGAACCCACAGACACTGTCCACAGTGACAGCAAACAGAAGCAAAGAGGAAACCAGAAGTAAAATGTGACCAGTCCACTCCACACGGACACAACAGGAAAAGTCGGAGGCCCCCAAAGCTCAGATTTAGTTCACCAAAGTCTCAGTTTGTGCCTCTGCTCGTCCAACCTGCACCATACGCTGAGTCTGAACCATCTCTCCACTTGCTCGCAGGGATCCTCAGTTGGAGTCCAGGCAGCCTCCTCCCCTTCTGTGGATCACTGCTAGGCAGCCCTGCTCCCTGATTAACCAGGCAGTTAACTCTCAAGTGAACAGACTTAAAGAAACCCTGGGTGTGTCTACACTACAGCATTATTTTGAAATATCTCATTTCAAAATAGCGCGTCTACACACAAAATGCATTTTGAAATATCTTTTTGCTATTTCGAAATAGCGCGTCCACACTGATTGGATGCTGACTCTCATTTAAGGCTAGCTAGAACTATATCAGGTCAGAAGTTACCTTGTGGCCATGGCAGACAGCAGGGCATCCTGGGAAGGGCCGGAGGCCCTCTATTTCAAAATAAGCATCTACACAGCGCTTATTTTGAAATAGCAATTTCAAAATTGGCGCTATTCCTCATGGAATGCGGTTTTCCAATTTTGAAATTATCCCTCCACTATTTCAAATTAATTTCGAAATAGCAGTTGGCTTGTGTAGATGCTAGGAAAGTTATTTCGATGTAACGGCTGTTATTTCGAAATAACTTTGCTGCGTAGACATACCCGTTACAAGACCATACAAACATGGAGAACAACACAACAGAAATGGCTTTTCCCTCAGTGCTAGGTTTACAGAGGAGCTGATGAATCTGA